TAAGGGTGTGAAAACCTCTCCCTAACAGACGTGTTTTAAAACCGTGAGACTGACAACGATACGTAACGGGCCAAAGCGGATAATATGTGTTAACATATGGACTTTAACATCCTTTACCCTCAGTCACACTTTTACATTTCACAGGTAATATTAATCAGAGCTGCAAAATAAGTATCCAACTTCTTTGATTAAGCGTATATTATTAATCCCACAATGAAGCTATTCAATTACCTGAATGATGGGTAAAGCTGCTGTGCCACCATGTGCCTTTCCAGTCGTTCTTGGCACTCGAATCATTTGCTGAAATTGGAAGATGGTCATCTCTTATAAGTTGTATGATCATGTGGAACATCTAACAGATGGCTTCCAGAAATATAGTTAAAATAAGAGAAAATGCAAGAATTTAACATCAACATGAAATTTGGTAGAATAGCCTTAGTGATGAAACAGTAAAGGTTAAATATGATGCTGAGCAATGTGAAACAAAATTGATAACCGTGTTAGTTTATGATAGAATTCGAAATATATTGCAATGTAAAAGATAATAGAACTACACGATAACCCAAGTATTCGAGGTACTTAGAACCTCCCCTTTCTTGAGCACTCTCACTCGAGCCCTAAACCAAACCAATTGAATCAAGGCTTACCTTCTTCTTTTCCCACCCCCTCTATTTATAACCACGTAACATAATATGCTCCCTAACTATTTACTACTATACCCTTCTAATATTCTTATTTGTTTACACACAATACGATTGCGTTTACAGTATAACAGCGCCATCATTTTCTCTTTCGGTTCCAATTAGAGAATTATACTGTTCAAATAGTTAAATTCAAATAAAAGAATAGTTTCCCAATTCAAATAGAAAATAATTAACAAAAGAAAAGTAGGTAAAACATCTTCATTGGTACAAAATTTTGTCTTGAATAGAGGCAAAAGGTATTGCCATTGAAATATACATTCAAATACACTAAAACCCGACGAGTTTCATCTCTTTAAGGCTATAAAGCAATATAACAAAGCAACTTTTAGTATTATACTCAAAAAGGCTAGAAAATACATATTAGAGATAAGGATGTCACAATCAAGCTGGCTCAAAGTGGGGTTGACAGAAAGTTCTACTTTAAAAGCATAAGTTTAAGGCACATAGAATCCTACAGATTTTTAAACAATTAAGTGGTCGATATGTAACAACTGCGAATAAATAGCATCTGCTACGACCAGGAGAAGTAGAGTTCAACTTCAATGACTGAGATTGTGAACAAAAAAAAAAAATGACTAAAAGAACTTGAATGTATTTGAAACATAAAAGAGTATAAATTGAAGTGCGCAATAAAAATTTACCTGTTGGTTTACACTTTGCAGCTGAATATTCATACAAATCATGGCAAAATAATCACATACGAAGATAGAAAGCAAGTCCATCGTTTAACAACAAGATGAATTATTAACAAACAATTTAATTGGAATGCTCAGTTTGATAAACGTATCCTGCACGATAAGCCTACTGGCATTTTTAACACCATCCATCATATTTGGCCATCTATCAGGAGTTGTCTTGTGAGGCCTCATTTCTTCCCTCTTAAGGGATGCCAAAAACTTCTGACGGTTCCACATCTAAGTGGCAATAATACGACTCTACTAAGAAACTGGAATAATTTCTCCAATGTCACTGTTATGCTCGTTGCTAAACTTGTTTGTAATCTTTTAATACCAGCTCTGAAACTAATACTTGCTTATAGAGAACTAGCTCAGGGTTTAAGATTATCCTCTAATAATCTACTAATAATACATGCATACATCCCACAAGAGAAATAATAATACAAGCGTACACTCATAGGCCACCTTTATTACTGTAAAAGGTAAAGAATAATTATGTAATTTGGCTTGTATAAATCACCTGATGGGCTGATTCCATCTAAGTATCTACAATGAGGATTCCAGGCGTACAAATCAACCAGATGTCCAAATCTGTTTGCAAAAAGGGGTAATTAGATATTCATTTTAAAAAGTTGTGCGCTCGTGTTGCTTTGTAGGTGTGAAAATGATGAGAAGATAATTTCATGTACTCGTCTTCTCCATTTCCAACGTCTACGGTGTTGCCACCATACAACCGTCCAGGAATAGCATTTCCAATAGAAAAGTGCATGAGATCGACTTCATATCCCTTGCACGTTTTGTTCGTGCAAGTATTCTTTCCTTCCTTGCAACCGCCCATCTTAAGACAGACAGGAATTTTGTCTTAGTCTAAAGCTCAAAGAAGCAATGGAAACTGTCAAATAAAGCCATGAAAAACAGCCCAGTGACTTACATTGTGATAGGTGGCACTCTCACCAATCTGAAACATGAGAGCAACTGATGGACATTTGGAACTTTCACTGCACCAAATCATCCATGACCAAGAATTACATCCAAAACTTTTTAAGGTACAAACAGATTTAAACAAAGATATGATGAAATAATGTTCCTAAACTCGCAGTTCCAATTCAACTCATGAATTGGTATGCTGCCATCGTGGGGAGTGCTTCAAACGTACGATCATAAAGATTGCCTAACCCCAAAACTAGAATCAGAAGCAAAACTGAGTTCCAGATAAATTTCCATATCAGGAATCAAAATTTTAAAAATGGGTACATGTGAAATAAGTTGTCTCGGATTAATCTCCATCCACTTACTGGAAGCAGTGAAAATCGATTAGATGCACGAACATGGTAAAAGGAGGAATCAAGATCAATCACGATTTCGAAAGAAACAAAAAACAAAACGACATAGTCCAAATTACTAACCCTTTTATGTATCGATAATCCCCATCAACTTGGAGCAAGAAGAAAACGTCCCTACCGTCATGTAAAGCCTATGAACGATTCACAAACGCCATAAGAACCCCGAAAGAATAAAAGACCAGCAACATGCACACAAATGGTCAAAATTTGAAAAATAAAAGCACCTTAACGGTCATCTTCCCACCACTGTATTCGTTGTCATCGTCAGGGTCGAGAGCCTGTAAGAGAGAGAACTCGAATCCATCAATGTCCTTCCAATCATCAGCGTGTCCATCGAGAGTAATGATACCGGGACGAAAATCGGCAACAATTCCGATCTCGGAGTCCGATTCGCAACTCCAGTCGCCGGATTCCTCGTGGGATTTGACCGGCCCGATCGGCGCGAAAGCAGAGAGAAGCAGTATAGCAAGTAGAAGAGGAGGAAACATTTCTCGCTGATGATGATTCTTCTGGGTTCGATTCTGGTGGTGAATTGATTCTGTTGTTGGGTCTGTAGTCTTGAGCTGACCCGGACCTTAAGCATGGGCTGCCGCGGTTGACTATAAATGGCGTCATTTTCTGTTCTGTGTGAGGTTTTTACAATAAAAATTCACCGCTTTTGGCCATTTCCAGGAGTGATCGTCGCGATTTGCGCGAGAGGGAACCCTTGTCGTTCGATTCATTTTAACCCCCCCTTTTCCCTAATTTACCCTTCATTTTCAACTCGGTTAATTTTAATTTAGTTATAAACTTCTCAATAATTTACCCTTCCTAATTTAAAATTTATAATATTTTGAAATATAGTGTAAATTTTACAATTTTACAAACTTTAAACTCATTTCGCGACTTCTAGCTTTGTTATGGTTGATAAACGTCTTTCCATCAGTGTTGACTCATTTTACTGACGGGGTTTATCACCACTTTAGCTACTTAAACGGCTTGGGCAGTTACTCGAGATTCCCGATTATTCCATTTTCTAATGTTAGCCATGTATAGCAGTCAAATAGGATCATTTTCTACTGGTTGATGACAGACAAGAAGAGGGTGTAAAATCCATATGACCAGAGCATGAACTAGTACGGTCGGATAAGTGTGTCGTAGTGATATACTTTTTTCTTTCAGAACCTCGCCTTTTGTTTTTCTCTCATTTGTCGGTTCCCCTCTCCTCTGGCAAGAAGATAGTTGAGAAAATATTAAAATTTTAAATTATTCTTCTAATGGTTCGATTTGTTTTAACATTGGTTCGGTTAAGAGCTATGAAAGGTGGTATTGAGTCAAAGCCCAAATTTATTGGTCAGGGCACACCCACGATTCACGTGATCCTGGACCAACTTGCTCCAATGTTATTTACGATTAATCAAATCAAATAGGTTAGAATCTTTCTAATTCTAAAACTTTACTCCTTACACACAATTGAGCATTGTTTGCCTGTTTTGCACGCGTGTTATTCCTTTAAACGATGAACACGAATTGCATTACATATATACCTGTTTGGTGCTATAACTCGGTTTCTTTGTTAAAATTTGTGAGATTTAACATTGATCTCGTGCTTAATTATATTTATTTTTTTAAAGATTAATTATTTTCGAGAGAATTGTATTTTAGTATTTAATAATGTTATGAGGTATGGTTATAGTTTTCATTCTAATCCATAAAATGTCAAAATATTACCCTATTAACTGTGAAGTCTCACTAATGCTTACCATCAGTAATTCTAACAATTACGACTAACACGTCAGCAAGTGACTTCTCCCCTATATTCCAGTTGTTTATTAATTTATGTATTTTACAAAATATAGAAAAATACCTATAAAATATAAACTTCGAGTCATGCTTCAATAATACACTAAAATTTATAAAATAAAAAAAAATAATATTTTTAAAAAATAAAAATGTTAAAAGTTTATTTTATAATACTTTTAACCTCTAAAATTTTTAAAAATATAATAACGTTAAAAAAAAAAGGCTATGTTCGTGTTCGGGTTGTTTTTAATGATAAATATTAAAATTTTATTTTAATAATATCATTTTTCATTAAAAATATTAAAAAAAAAAAAACTCTAACAGGATTCAATTAACTTCAATCTCCATATTTATTGTTTGTTGCATAAAAATTATCTCTAAAATTATTTTTAATGATAAATACAATTTTTATTTTTTTATTTTTAAATAATCAATATAAACCTACAAATTCGTGTCAGTAATTTAAGCGGTAAAATGATAGGCTTAGAGCTGAAATAAATAACCTCGTTGAAACCAATTGGATCGAACACAAGGAGATTTGATCGCACGGTGACATTTTCGGCTGTGCATTCTTGTACCGAAAACCATAAACCCTGTCACCAATCACCGCAAGGCCTGGAGTCTCTCTAAGGCTAGTTCTTCTTCCATGCGACTTACCAGATCTGTTCTTCCCAGTCTGACACTAGCGTGAAGCTCCAATCGTTCCTAAAATGGTGCTCAAAGCAACTGCAATATTCTTTGCGATCTTACTATATTCAATTTCAGTCGCTTCCGCTGATTCAATCCATGGTTGCGGCGGATTCGTCGAGGTAAATGGATTTTCTTTTATGAGTTGTTTAATATGTCCGATCGGAGAATTTGCGGGAGTTTCGTTTGAGATATTTAACAATCCGACGATGTAGTATTTGAGTGAGAATGATTGAGTATGAACTATGAAGTATCTTAGTAATATTGAGCTTGCTGGTGTGGTTCCTGATATGGGTTTACTATGAATTTTATTGGGTGTGCTTTGGATTTGAAGTATTTATTGGATCTCGTTCGTCGCTAGTATTAGATTAAGGAAGCGGGGGTTTTGTTTTCGTTCTCATTTGCCGTAACTTAATTATGATCTTCCATGCTGCAGGCAAGTTCGTCCTTAATCAAGTCCAGGAAGCTGAATGACGGAAAGTTGGATTATTCTCATATTACGGCACGTACCACGTTTTTTGTGTCTCTTTTGTTATTATTTCAGCTCGATATCTGTTTTTGGTTAAATGTTTAAGATATATGATTCCCTGAACTTAGAATCTCCAATCAAGTCCAGGAAACTGAATGACAGAAAGTCGGATATACCCGACTTTTGTTCTATATCCAAAGATCTGCGCAGGAAAAGTTTGTAACTAATACGTAGGTTTTATTATTGTTCCTTATAATGTAGGTTGAGCTTCGAACAGTGGATGGACTAGTCAAGGATAGGACTCAATGTGCTCCTAATGGCTATTACTTCATTCCGGTGTATGATAAGGTGATTTTTCGTCGAATGTTAGTCTATTAGTACTAGCTATATTACTATTGAAGGATATTGTTTTATTTCATTTTGTATTGTTCACCTCCATTTACAGGGTTCCTTTGTAATTACGATAAATGGACCAGAAGGGTGGTCTTGGAACCCGGATAAGGTTTCTCACTTTCCACTTTGTTATAATATTACTATCAAGTACTTCAACATTTCTTCACTTGGATATATGGTTCACTTGATGTAAATATTGACTTTTGAATTCCACGATGAACAAAAATTTGTAGGTTCCTGTTCTTGTTGATGACACTGGGTGCAATGGGAATGAAGACATAAATTTTCGTTTCACAGGGTTTGTTCTTTTTTGTTTAGTTTTTCCAAATAATTTCTTACATTTCGATGCTTTTAGTTGTATATAATAAAATCTACTTTTGAAAATCTTTTACTGTAGGTTTACATTATCCGGTAGAGTTACAGGTGCTGTTGGGGGAGAGAGCTGTTCAAACTTGAATGGTGGTCCCGCTAATGTAAACGTGGAACTTTTATCTCCTAGTGGCGATGTTGTATCTTCAGCATTAACTTCATCTGAAGGGAATTATATCTTCTTGAATATTATTCCAGGTTTGAAGTAATTTATATTTAATTGGTTTGTTATAGTTTAATCTGATCACATTTTCTCCAAATGCTAGTTGAATTTTCATTTTTCAAATTATTGTCTAGACCTTTTTCCACCTTGAAGTGAAAAATGAACTGGAACTGAATGTTCTGGATAATGTTTAACATATGATCGTAAAATTACATGTTGGTGTTATAAGATGCTGTTAGACGAACTCTTGTCTATATAGAAAGGAAGCTTCATTTGTTTTAAAGGACAGCTATGGAAAGCTGATAGGGAATTGGCTATTTCTATATTTGCTGCAGGAAGGAAATCAATAGCTAAAATTATAAGCACTTTAATCAAAATTTATCTTCCCATCAAGTATCATGAAAATGCCTTCCCATGACATGGAGAATTCCCTCCGTTCTTTTTTCATCTCTTTCCTGAACTTGCTTTGAACTTTTTTGCTAGCCAGTTATGTTCCTTGATTAGAGTTACTAGTTAGGAAGAAGAGGATATGAGGTGCTAGCATTGTGCAGTGTAGGATAAAAAATAAGGTTTTCACTTTTCTCCTTTTTGCGTATTTCATTTTATCAATGAAATCTTCACAATTCTTTTAACAAAAAAATCTATTGCTGCTAAGATGGAAAAATTGATCATGAATGAGAAATCCCTAAAAAAAGTCCAGTTCTTTCTGTTGTATCTCGCCTATGAATCAGCACTCAGGCTGGGAGGGAAACTCTAGGCCACAACCACTTGTTTATTCATTGTGGCCTTGCTAAAAGCTGCTAGAGTTTTCTCTGCGCAGAGTTTGAGATTGCCTGGTGCAGTCTGTAGACGCTTATTTGTTGCTTCTGGAAGTTCTAAGAAGTTTTTTTTCACGTCCACTCTATGTCTTCTTTAGGTGGAGAGGAACAAGAAGATATTTTAGGATAATACGCATGGAGTTAGCATTTTTTTTTTTTTTTTTTTTGGGTTGGACTAGCTATATGTAGCCTTGAGTTAGAGCACTTTACATAGGCTTTTTGTAATTGTAACCTTTCTACCTTATTATTGTAGATTGGAGACATTTTTTATAAACCCCTTTAGGAGGCTGGAAGATGTCATATTCTCCTACCCTCTTTTCTTTGTATCAATTTGTTTTGATTTCAATTGCATTCTTGTTTCTTATCATCCAGTAAAAAGAAAACAAAGATGTTAATAGTTTTTTTGTTTAAAAAACTGAATGCCTTATGAAGACTTGCTCAATAATTTGTTGGGAGTATCTGTGTTATGTCGGTCTCTCGGATTGTGATATTTTCCCCTTTAGACCAAGGATCATGAAACATTTTGACGCATTAGATTTTTTTTTGCATGTACATTTGATGGTGCAGGGGTATATAACTTGCGTGCTTCACATCTCGACTTAAAAGTTGAAGCTAGAGGTTCCACAGAGGTTTGGTGTTTTTCAACCCTTGCATCCCAATTCAATTTTAGTTAAGGTTACCTTGCCCCTTTTATTAGTGATTTTAATTTCCACCGTGAGTCACTACTCTAGTTTCCTAGTTCAATTTTAATATGATCATTGCCAAGATTGTGATTTAATAAGGGATCATTTATGCAGGTGGAATTGGGCTTTGGAAACAGTATTGTCAATGATATTTTTAATGTCCCAGGTTATGATGTTCGTGGATTTGTTGTTGCTCAGGTATACAGTCTTTTGGGCTTACAGTGATTCCTCCATTCTTTTATCTGTAAATTCGACTTTCTTCCATGATTTTTTTTTCCATTTGGTCGAGATTATTGAAGCCACTGGTCAGAAGATAATTTAATCATGACCTCCAAATGTAGCCTTTTGAGAAAAATTTCAGAAGGAATTTTCCTTTTTTTGTTTTTTGTTTAGATGGTTGAACTAGGAAATCCATTAATGAACTCTATTCTCACAAAATGAGATTGTTGTTGTCAGCTTTTGGAATTTCCACTTTGAGCAACCTTTCTTTTCACCCTATGTGAAGACAGTAAGATTGTGTGTTTGTTTTGATAGGGAAACCCGATATTGGGAGTTCATTTTTATTTGTTCTCAGACGATGTCAAAGAGGTTGATTGTCCACAAGGTCCTGGTAATGCTCCTGGACAAAGAAAGGCTCTATGTCATGCTGTATCTGATGCTGATGGGATGTTCAGATTCCAAGCAATACCCTGCGGTAATTATCTAGTAGATGGTTGTCAGTCGTTTTAACTATCAAAGTTCTTAGGTGGAGTTTAATTAGTGGTGCTTGTTTCTCTGGACTACTATTGCAATGGCTAATTGTAGGAAGTTTAGTGTATGTTTGTGAATGTTTGATTAATCCACCACACCTAAATGGTGTGAAAGTTATCTTATTTATAATCAAATAAATTACAAGGATATAGAAATAGTAATAAATATTAGATATTTGCCTTATAATAAAATATCAAATATATATGGTAAACTATAATTTATTACTAAATATCCTTAACACCCCACCGCAAGCTAAGCGTCGGATTTAAACGAACGTGAAGCTTGAATCTGAAAAATTCAAAGAGGTTGAGAAACACTTTTCATGAAGATGCTAACAACCCGGTTCTTGGCCATCAAAAATTACAGAGCGATCGCCGCTCAGCGGCGATACTGCCTTGATTTTGGCGAGAATATGTCTAACCCATGAAGAGGGATTGTCGCTTAGCGACGATGCTGCCTTGGCTCTGATGAGAATATTTCTAACCCCAAGAAGTAGAAGGGGAAACCTAGAGCAAGGGACAAAGACAATGCTGAAGCCGGAAGAGTCGCCACATTGGGCGAAGGAGCCAATTTTGGCCAGAAGGGCAGTCGGAAGAGTCGCCTCATCGGGCGAAGAAGCCAATTTTGGCAGGAAGGGCGGCGGCAACTTGGTTGGCGAATAGGCCAATGCCGCACCCAAATTCCGAAGGTAAATCTCTGCAAAAGGTTGATAGGTTTAGGTTAGGGTTTATGTGAAGGATGAAGGTTGATTGGGAAGAAAATGAGAGAGACTATATTGGCCAAGGGGAAAACCGATTGGGTTGGAAAAGGTGAGGTTGTATGTACAGAGTATGACGAAAGGTGATTTGGAGGTCAATAGGGTGGAGCCGAAGAGTAATCAATCGGCTCCGACTACGGCAGCCATGAAGACTGCCCCTGCGGCGTCAAAACCAGCAGGGGTGGTGGAGAAGAAGATTAGAGGATTCAAAAGCCATTGAAAAGAAAGGATCGGGGTTGTTAAACCGAGAGGGCTCTGATACCATGTGAATGTTTGATTAATCCACCACACCTAAATGGTGTGAAAGTTATCTTATTTATAATCAAATGAATTACAAGGATATGGAAATAGTAATAAATGGAAATAACAATAAATGGAAAGATACCTATGATAATAAGGCAAATATTAGATATTTGCCTTATAATAAAATATCAAATATAATATATATGGTAAACTATAATTTATTACTAAATATCCTTAACACCCCACCGCAAGCTAAGCGTCGGATTTAAACGAACGTGAAGCTTGAATCTGAAAAATTCAAAGAGGTTGAGAAACACTTTTCATGAAGATGCTAACAACCCGGTTCTTGGCCATCAAAAATTGCAGAGGGATCGCCGCTCAGCGGCGATGCTGCCTTGGCTTCGGCGAGAATATGTCTAACCCATGAAGAGGGATTGTCGCTTAGCGACGATGCTGCCTTGGCTCTGGTGAGAATATTTCTAACCCCAAGAAGTAGAAGGGGAAACCTAGAGCAAGGGACAAAGACAATGCTGAAGCCGGAAGAGTCGCCACATTGGGCGAAGGAGCCAATTTTGGCGAGAAGGGCAGTCGGAAGAGTCGCCTCATCGGGCGAAGAAGCCAATTTTGGCAGGAAGGGCGGCGGCAACTTGGTTGGCAAATAGGCCAATGCGGCACCCAAATTCCGAAGGTAAATCTCTGCAAAAGGTTGATAGGTTTAGGTTAGGGTTTATGTGAAGGATGAAGGTTGATTGGGAAGAAAATGAGAGAGACTATATTGGCCAAGGGGAAAACCGATTGGGTTGGAAAAGGTGAGGTTGTATGTACAGAGTATGACGAAAGGTGATTTGGAGGTCAATAGGGTGGAGCCGAAGAGTAATCAATCGGCTCCGACTACGGCAGCCATGAAGACTGCCCCTGCGGCGTCAAAACCAGCAGGGGTGGTGGAGAAGAAGATTAGAGGATTCAAAAGCCATTGAAAAGAAAGGATCGGGGTTGTTAAACCGAGAGGGCTCTGATACCATGTGAATGTTTGATTAATCCACCACACCTAAATGGTGTGAAAGTTATCTTATTTATAATCAAATGAATTACAAGGATATGGAAATAGTAATAAATGGAAATAACAATAAATGGAAAGATACCTATGATAATAAGGCAAATATTAGATATTTGCCTTATAATAAAATATCAAATATAATATATATGGTAAACTATAATTTATTACTAAATATCCTTAACACCCCACCGCAAGCTAAGCGTCGGATTTAAACGAACGTGAAGCTTGAATCTGAAAAATTCAAAGAGGTTGAGAAACACTTTTCATGAAGATGCTAACAACCCGGTTCTTGGCCATCAAAAATTGCAGAGGGATCGCCGCTCAGCGGCGATGCTGCCTTGGCTTCGGCGAGAATATGTCTAACCCATGAAGAGGGATTGTCGCTTAGCGACGATGCTGCCTTGGCTCTGATGAGAATATTTCTAACCCCAAGAAGTAGAAGGGGAAACCTAGAGCAAGGGACAAAGACAATGCTGAAGCCGGAAGAGTCGCCACATTGGGCGAAGGAGCCAATTTTGGCGAGAAGGGCAGTCGGAAGAGTCGCCTCATCGGGCGAAGAAGCCAATTTTGGCAGGAAGGGCGGCGGCAACTTGGTTGGCGAATAGGCCAATGCCGCACCCAAATTCCGAAGGTAAATCTCTGCAAAAGGTTGATAGGTTTAGGTTAGGGTTTATGTGAAGGATGAAGGTTGATTGGGAAGAAAATGAGAGAGACTATATTGGCCAAGGGGAAAACCGATTGGGTTGGAAAAGGTGAGGTTGTATGTACAGAGTATGACGAAAGGTGATTTGGAGGTCAATAGGGTGGAGCCGAAGAGTAATCAATCGGCTCCGACTACGGCAGCCATGAAGACTGCCCCTGCGGCGTCAAAACCAGCAGGGGTGGTGGAGAAGAAGATTAGAGGATTCAAAAGCCATTGAAAAGAAAGGATCGGGGTTGTTAAACCGAGAGGGCTCTGATACCATGTGAATGTTTGATTAATCCACCACACCTAAATGGTGTGAAAGTTATCTTATTTATAATCAAATGAATTACAAGGATATGGAAATAGTAATAAATGGAAATAACAATAAATGGAAAGATACCTATGATAATAAGGCAAATATTAGATATTTGCCTTATAATAAAATATCAAATATAATATATATGGTAAACTATAATTTATTACTAAATATCCTTAACACCCCACCGCAAGCTAAGCGTCGGATTTAAACGAACGTGAAGCTTGAATCTGAAAAATTCAAAGAGGTTGAGAAACACTTTTCATGAAGATGCTAACAACCCGGTTCTTGGCCATCAAAAATTGCAGAGGGATCGCCGCTCAGCGGCGATGCTGCCTTGGCTTCGGCGAGAATATGTCTAACCCATGAAGAGGGATTGTCGCTTAGCGACGATGCTGCCTTGGCTCTGGTGAGAATATTTCTAACCCCAAGAAGTAGAAGGGGAAACCTAGAGCAAGGGACAAAGACAATGTTGAAGCCGGAAGAGTCGCCACATTGGGCGAAGGAGCCAATTTTGGCGAGAAGGGCAGTCGGAAGAGTCGCCTCATCGGGCGAAGAAGCCAATTTTGGCAGGAAGGGCGGCGGCAACTTGGTTGGCGAATAGGCCAGTGCGGCACCCAGATTCCGAAGGTAAATCTCTGCAAAAGGTTGATAGGTTTAGGTTAGGGTTTATGTGAAGGATGAAGGTTGATTGGGAAGAAAATGAGAGAGACTATATTGGCCAAGGGGAAAACCGATTGGGTTGGAAAAGGTGAGGTTGTATGTACAGAGTATGACGAAAGGTGATTTGGAGGTCAATAGGGTGGAGCCGAAGAGTAATCAATCGGCTCCGACTACGGCAGCCATGAAGACTGCCCCTGCGGCGTCAAAACCAGCAGGGGTGGTGGAGAAGAAGATTAGAGGATTCAAAAGCCATTGAAAAGAAAGGATCGGGGTTGTTAAACCGAGAGGGCTCTGATACCATGTGAATGTTTGATTAATCCACCACACCTAAATGGTGTGAAAGTTATCTTATTTATAATCAAATGAATTACAAGGATATGGAAATAGTAATAAATGGAAATAACAATAAATGGAAAGATACCTATGATAATAAGGCAAATATTAGATATTTGCCTTATAATAAAATATCAAATATAATATATATGGTAAACTATAATTTATTACTAAATATCCTTAACACCCCACCGCAAGCTAAGCGTCGGATTTAAACGAACGTGAAGCTTGAATCTGAAAAATTCAAAGAGGTTGAGAAACACTTTTCATGAAGATGCTAACAACCCGGTTCTTGGCCATCAAAAATTGCAGAGGGATCGCCGCTCAGCGGCGATGCTGCCTTGGCTTCGGCGAGAATATGTCTAACCCATGAAGAGGGATTGTCGCTTAGCGACGATGCTGCCTTGGCTCTGGTGAGAATATTTCTAACCCCAAGAAGTAGAAGGGGAAACCTAGAGCAAGGGACAAAGACAATGTTGAAGCCGGAAGAGTCGCCACATTGGGCGAAGGAGCCAATTTTGGCGAGAAGGGCAGTCGGAAGAGTCGCCTCATCGGGCGAAGAAGCCAATTTTGGCAGGAAGGGCGGCGGCAACTTGGTTGGCGAATAGGCCAGTGCGGCACCCAGATTCCGAAGGTAAATCTCTGCAAAAGGTTGATAGGTTTAGGTTAGGGTTTATGTGAAGGATGAAGGTTGATTGGGAAGAAAATGAGAGAGACTATATTGGCCAAGGGGAAAACCGATTGGGTTGGAAAAGGTGAGGTTGTATGTACAGAGTATGACGAAAGGTGATTTGGAGGTCAATAGGGTGGAGCCGAAGAGTAATCAATCGGCTCCGACTACGGCAGCCATGAAGACTGCCCCTGCGGCGTCAAAACCAGCAGGGGTGGTGGAGAAGAAGATTAGAGGATTCAAAAGCCATTGAAAAGAAAGGATCGGGGTTGTTAAACCGAGAGGGCTCTGATACCATGTGAATGTTTGATTAATCCACCACACCTAAATGGTGTGAAAGTTATCTTATTTATAATCAAATGAATTACAAGGATATGGAAATAGTAATAAATGGAAATAACAATAAATGGAAAGATACCTATGATAATAAGGCAAATATTAGATATTTGCCTTATAATAAAATATCAAATATAATATATATGGTAAACTATAATTTATTACTAAATATCCTTAACACCCCACCGCAAGCTAAGCGTCGGATTTAAACGAACGTGAAGCTTGAATCTGAAAAATTCAAAGAGGTTGAGAAACACTTTTCATGAAGATGCTAACAACCCGGTTCTTGGCCATCAAAAATTGCAGAGGGATCGCCGCTCAGCGGCGATGCTGCCTTGATTTTGGCGAGAATATGTCTAACCCATGAAGAGGGATTGTCGCTTAGCGACGATGCTGCCTTGGCTCTGATGAGAATATTTCTAACCCCAAGAAGTAGAAGGGGAAACCTAGAGCAAGGGACAAAGACAATGCTGAAGCCGGAAGAGTCGCCACATTGGGCGAAGGAGCCAATTTTGGCCAGAAGGGCAGTCGGAAGAGTCGCCTCATCGGGCGAAGAAGCCAATTTTGGCAGGAAGGGCGGCGGCAACTTGGTTGGCGAATAGGCCAATGCGGCACCCAAATTCCGAAGGTAAATCTCTGCAAAAGGTTGATAGGTTTAGGTTAGGGTTTATGTGAAGGATGAAGGTTGATTGGGAAGAAAATGAGAGAGACTATATTGGCCAAGGGGAAAACCGATTGGGTTGGAAAAGGTGAGGTTGTATGTACAGAGTATGACGAAAGGTGATTTGGAGGTCAATAGGGTGGAGCCGAAGAGTAATCAATCGGCTCCGACTACGGCAGTCATGAAGACTGCCCCTGCGGCGTCAAAACCAGCAGGGGTGGTGGAGAAGAAGATTAGAGGATTCAAAAGCCATTGAAAAGAAAGGATCGGGGTTGTTAAACCAAGAGGGCTCTAATACCATGTGAATGTTTGATTAATCCACCACACCTAAATGGTGTGAAAGTTATCTTATTTATAATCAAATAAATTACAAGGATATAGAAATAGTAATAAATATTAGATATTTGCCTTATAATAAAATATCAAATATATATGGTAAACTATAATTTATTACTAAATATCCTTAACAATGTTACTGTTTTTAACCTTTTTCTTGATGTCATTTTGAATTTTTTCCTCCGAGTGTGGGTTTTAAACTTTTCCTGATCTTAAAAGAATTTTTCTTTTGTCTGAATTTACAATAAATATCAGCCAGCCGTAGCATCAATGTGACCAATCTCAATTGATTAATTTTCCTACAGGCCGTTACGAACTTTTGCCGTACTACAGGGGTGAAAATACTATTTTTGATGTTTCACCTAGCATCATTTCTGTGAATGTTGAGCATCAACACATTACAATTTCTAAAAAATTTCAGGTACCGTTTGTTATTTCCACTACATACCATCAGCAGTTTATCTAAATTGAAACATAGGACTGGATAAGTATTCGATCTAGCATGATCTATATATTATGCCATCAAAGTTTCTTGTCATGGTGCTCGTTCACTTTTATTTTTTTTTTCATTTTCAATAATTCAAACAACGAAAAAAGTCTTTGTGAAAACTATTTTTTATAAAAGTTGGAGTAAAGCTCAATGACCAATCTTGAAAGGAGTAAAGCTCAATGACCAATCTTGAAAACTTTAAAGCTTCGTACACAAATAATCATAGAAGTCCATTTATATCTTCTAGTCCAGACTGACTTGAAAGTTGGTGAAACTAAGGTTATTTTGGTCTTCTGAATTTTCTGGTGTCTATATTATCTCTTTCTTTGTCTCTCCAATATAGCAGTGAATCTACATGTAATTTAGTTTCCGTTCTGACCATATCTATAATTGAGTTGAATAGCAGCCTTTTATATAGTATATCCGAGTATGCTTTTATACAGATTCTGGCACTTCCTTCTTTAATTCTGTACCTTCTTAAGAAGTTGCTTTAGAGTGAAACAAGATGATGTTATCATGTATAATTTAATTTAATTTAATTAGCATTTGGTGTGATTTTTTTTAAAAAAAAAGGTTTATTCCTGATTCTTGCTGGTTTACTTAGGTTACTGGATTTTCTGTTGGGGGCCGTGTTGTTGATGCAAATGATGTAGGAGTCGAAGGTGTCAAAGTTATAGTGGATGGTCATGAAAGAGCCGTCACTGACAAGGAAGGATTCTACAAGCTTGNGGGGGGGGGGGGGGGGGGGGGGGGGGGGGGGGGGGGGGGGGGGGGGGGGGGGGGGGGGGTGATAAGTCATCTTTCGTTCTTGTCCACTCATGAGGGTGAGGACATATCTTTATAAATAACAAGTAACAGTTTTAAGAATGACGAGGAAGGAAACAATACCTGATGACATTTAGAGATAGATATACCCATCAGGCATGGACAATCATTTTGGTCCCGACAAGGTGGTGACCATTCTCAAGAACCAAAAATATCTGAACACTAGATGAATAATTGCATTTATGTCGAAATTTTCCTTCGTTATTTAAAGATCTGAAGGTCTAACCCTTCAACAGATTTTATTGGCTATTCTAAAAATAGGTGCTGACTTCTTTCGACAATATTAATGATACTTATGAACGCTTTGTTATAATATACTGGAGTCCTATTGATCAACAGCAAGCTACCTCCCTCGAGGTTGTTTTCACCAAAGAAGAAGTGAGGAAGGCGATCCAGCATTTGGGCTCCGACAAAACTCTAGGACTGGATGGTTACCTCAAAATTAAAAGAAAAAGGTTGGAACTTTATAAGAGCTGATATCATGAGAGTGTTCCAATTTTTTTTCTTTTCAAAATGGGGTTATCAATGGCAACCTAAACAAAACATACATTTGTTTGATCTCAAAGAAACTGGATGCCCGCACTGTTGCAGACTTTCGTCCCATAAGTCTTACGACCAGACTATATAAAATTATAGCAAGGGTATTATCAGAACGTCTTAAAAAGGTTCTTCACAATTACCGGGCAACTAACAACTTTTGTAGAGACAAATTCTCGATGCATTCTTCATGGAAAATGAACTCATAGATGAATGGGAAAGAAAGAAACAAAAAGGTGTAGTCATCAAACTTAACTTGGAGAAGGCCTTCGACAAGGTTGATTGGACTTTCCTCGAAAACATTCTTGTGGCAAAAGGTTTTGGCTAAAAATGGCAGAGGTGGATAAAAGGATGCATCTCATCCACAAACTTCTCTATCGTCATCAATGTAAGATCGATAGGGGAGATTTATAGCACATGGGGTCTTCGAGGAGGGGATCCACTATCCCCCTTTCTTTTCATCATGGTAATGGATTGCCTCAGCCGCATATGGGCAAAAGCAGAATACGAAGGGCAAATAAAAGATTTTCAAATTGGCAACGAAGACTTAAGCATCATCCACCTTCAGTTTGTAGATGATACAATCCTCTTTTCTGACTTGGCAGATGTCTCTTCTACAAAAACATGATCGGGATGGTAAAAACCTTCAAAGGATTCTCTGAACAAAGTATCAATCTCCAAAAAACAGAGATTATGGACATCAATATTAGCACAAAGGTTATTGAAGAATTTGCTAGTATATATGGTTGTAAAAAGGGAGAAGGACCAAATATGTACCTAGGATTACCCGTAAAAGGAAACCACAAATCTTTTTTCTTCTGGAAGACTGTTATTGAAAAAATAGAAAGAAGGTTGTCAACATGGTCATCATGTTATACTTCAAAAGGCAGACGACTTACCCTAATACAAGCCACATTATCCAACCTCCCCACCTACTACATGTTTCGATTCGAAATGCCACAAAAAGTGGCTTTAGATATATCAAGATTATTCAAGAACTATTTGTTGAAAGATGACCCACACCTTGTTCGATGGAATATTATAAACCTCCCAACAGAAAAGGGAGACCTCAGTCTTTTCTTGAATCACAAAATGGATATGAAGATATTGTCACGAAAAAAATGCCTTGTGGAGAAATCTTGTAAAGGTTAAATATACTCCTACGCCAAATAAAAACCAACCCCCTCCATCTTCTGCAAAAGGGCCTTGGAAGTACATAAAGAAACATAAAGACTTCATCACCAACCAAATTTGCCATAAGGTGGGTGATGGAGGAAGCACATCATTCTAGACCGACCCATGAATTGAAAATACCACGCTAGCTTTGTGGTATCCACTTTTGTACAGACTCTCTCATAGCAGAAAAACCACGATTAAAGAAATGTAGAATGTTGTCAACAAATTATGGGACATGAAGCTTGGTAGGAATTTTAAGGATAACAAAGCAAAGGAATGGACTGAATTAAGCCTTGACCTTGCCCCAGTGGTATTGTCAAACGAAGTAGACTCACTGACTTGGCTCCCTAGCACCGACGGGGTCTTCTCTACAAAATTCTTGATGATGGACATGGGGGAAAAAGTAGAAGCAATAAATTCCATGCTAGCAAAGACCGTATGGAAAGGACATCACCCTAAAAGGGTGAAGTTCTTCCTTTGGGAAGGGCATAAAACCATTATTCAAATGAAAATCTTCAAAAAAGAATGCCTTATATTACTCTTTCTCCAAATTGGTGTCCATTATGCAAGGAAGGAAACAAATTACAAAGCCACTTATTACAAATCTCTGAACAACGATTCTCAATATATTTGGATGGCATCTCACATTTTCTAGGGAGGTAAAGGATCTATTGGATGTGGCCTTAACGTACCCACCTTTTCAAGAATGCAAAGCTCTACTAAGGAAAAACTTCATCATGCCTTTCTTTTGGAATCCATGGAAAGAAAGAAATAAAAAAATATTCATGAAAGATACACAGACTTCTACAAAACTCTTCGACAATCTTGTTTACCAAGCTATATCTTGGTGTAAACTATCTAATATTTTTACTTCCTATAGTTATACCTCCCTCAATGTAAATTGGGAAGGTCTTTTGTAAACATCATGGATATTACATCTCTTTTGTAAATTTCAATCATCAATGAAATTGCCTCTTATATATATATAAAAAAAAAAAAAAAAAAAACTCAGTTTACCCTTTCAACATGAATACTCTGCCAGCTATTTTATTAGCAATGGTTTTTAATTCCTTATCTATCAAATTAGAAGCAAAACGTATGCTAGCATCATGGTATAATTTTGGAGGTCAAATGCCTGTAAGATAACTTAAATTCTTGTTAGAGTTGAATAGTAATTTATTTTAGGTTTACTCTTAAGTGTCTTTTAAAAAAAAAATCATTATTATAGGCTAAATTAGTTTTTCTACTATTGTATTGTATATGGTTTTAATAATTGTGATAATTATTTAAACTATTTTGACAAGTGTCACTCCTTTTGATTTTTTGTTCTTTTTCATTTTAATGTTTTAGGTAACTTCTGGCCATTATACCATTGAAGCTAGAAAGGAGCACTTCAAATTCAACAAATTGGAGAACTATTTGGTATGTGGTGTTAATTGAAAAATATTTTCACGTTTTTGCTTTGAAGCTTCAGTAATATTACTTATGCTGCTACAGTAAAGTCTGTTTTATATTAATTTCTTTATAGGAATTTGTAATCTTCAATTCAACATAAAGGAAGTGTTATTTTCTTGTCCTTTCTTATTCCAACTCTCTTTGCGTGTTCAGGTACTTCCAAACATGGTTTCTGTTGCTGATATCAAAGCAACTTTTTATGATGTCTGTGGTGTTGTTCAGACTATTGGAGATGGTTACAAGACCAAGGTAAAAAAATGACATCCTTTAATTTAATCTCGTTTTGTGAATGTAGTCTGCATGTCAAATGATTTGTTTCCATATTCTGCTCTGAACTTTAGGTAGCATTGACTCATGGGCCAGAAAATGTTAAACCTCAAGTCAAACAAACAGACAAAAGTGGCAAATTCTGTTTCGAGGTATGTTACCCAGAAGTAATGGCAATACCTTGTATGTTTCTCCTTTTTTGTAAAAATGTGGCGAAGAGGCTTTGGAGTTTTTTGTGGTGCTTGATTCCTATTATGTGAATGGAAGATTAACAAATGTGTGTATGCACACTATTTGCTGTGTTGTGAGTTTCATTTGAAATTGCAGGTTACTCTCTGAGTTCACTTAAATGGAATATAATATGGTTACAGAAAAATAGGAAGATTCTTGAGAGTATTGAGGATTTTTATGTTAGGTTTGAGATGTAGCTCACTTCAATGCTTTGCTTTCGGTTCAATAGGAAGCACCACTGTCACCAAAAGCAAGGTTGAGACACTAAATATCTTCATAGTGTTAAGACGCTCTAAGCAACATAGATACACAAGGGCATAATGGGCATAAATGCTTCAATTCATAGTGTCTCAATGCTCTAACATAGGGTTTCCTTTTCTTGGATTTTGGTAGTCTGGCACTTCTGCAAGTTATTCACGCCTCTCATTATTTTATGCATCTTCCAGGTCCCACCTGGTGAATATCGCCTGTCTGCTATGGCAATTTCTCCAGAAAGTGCTCCTGGACTATTGTTCTCGCCATCTTATGTTGATGTTACAGTCAGAAGCCCCTTGCTGAATGTTGCTTTTTCACAGGTAATATTCTGAATTTCTGTGGACCTCTTAGTCTTATGGTACTCTTGCTGCTTGTAGATTATTCATGAAACCATTTATAATTATGAAAAGGATATTCAACTCTTCCTATTTTTAAACTATTTGTTAGATTCCTTCACATGATAAAGTTCTTTTTATCTGCTTCCATTGATTTATTTTATTTCTTACAATTGATTGTCAAGGCCGTAGTCAATATACATGGTTCTGTAACATGCAAAGAGAGATGTGGTGCATCAGTATCTATTGCCCTTCAGAGATTGGCTGGTAATCTTATTAGTGAAAAGAAGACTATCAGTTTGACAGATGAGAGTAATGAGTTTCTATTTCAAGATGTCATCCCTGGAAAATACAGGATAGAGGTATATAGCTGTTTTACCTTATCATTTATATTTGATCAGTTTGTGCCTTTGCTTCGATGGTCATTGAAAATTACCGAACTTGGTTGTGTATGGAATACATTCTTTACTCCTGCTCTTTGTGTTTTTGCATCAGTTACAACTTAGTTACAGCGATTTTTTTTTTCTGAAACAAGAATGAAAAATTTTCATTAAAATAATGAAAAGAGACCAACACAAATAATGAAAAGATTCTCATCCTAGTTTCAGCGTTTTCATTGGTATGGGGTCTAGAAATGATGTACATCAGTTGCATCATCCCTACATCTTATTTGTTTATATCAGGTTCCTTTTCTACATTAAAAACAATAAACATTTTGATGTAATTATTAGAACCATATCCTTTGGCATTTGAACGTTGATGGTTGATGAATTCAAAAGCCTAATCCAATGAGTTAGGGTAAATTTAATTATATCAACACTTTAAACTCCCCTTCACTTGTGGGCTTGAAAATTTATAGAAGGCCGAACAAATGGAAATCAATATTAATTGGGGAGGTAACGACTTTTTAGGGGTTCGAACATAGGTCATCCTGCTCTCAGACCATGTTATCACCAATCAATTCAAAAACCTAAGCTAACAACACTTTAACACTCCCTTCACTTCGTGGGCTTGAAAATTTGTAGAAGACCCAACAAGTGGAAATCAATATTAATTGGGAAGGAAACAACTTTATAGGGGTTCAAACACAGGGCCTCGTGCTCTTATTCCATATCAAGTCACCAATCAATCGCAAAACCTAAACTAATGGGTCATGGTAAATTTAATAATATCAATACTTTAAAAGTTAAACATAATTATACTTGCTGAGCATTTATCTTTTAATAGGCTTCACACTCATCCATTCAAGGCGTGGTTGGTAAAGATGATTGGTGCTGGGTGCAAAATTCAATTGAAGTGGATGCCAGCATTGAGGATGTACATGGAATTGAATTTATTCAAAAAGGTTACTGGGTTAATGTTGTATCTACTCATGATGTGGGTGCTTATATTTTTCAAATGGATGGGCCACTTATGAACTTGAAAATCAAGGTTAGGTCTTCTTCAAGTCCTAAAATTTTGTTTTACTCTCTATGGATGTATCAGGCACGAGACTGTAATTGATCATTGTGTAATGCAGAAAGGTTCCCAGTACATATGCGTGGAATCTCCTGGAGTGCACGAAGTTCATTTTTCCAACTCTTGTATCTTTTTTGGGAGTTCATCAACTACAATAGACACATTAAAACTAGAGGTATGGTAATTTTCCAGATTTGTATTTGATGATTGTACCTGTGTACATTATTTTTGTGAGACTAAATTTCCTCTCATTTTTGTAAAATATTTGTCAGCCGATCTATTTGAGAGGAGAAAAATTTCTACTAAAGGGGCAAATTAATGTTGATCCTGTCTCACTTGGAGTATATGAATTACCTGAAAGTATTCTGTTGAACATTGTTGGTGCGGGAGGCAGTGTGATTGATAATACTGAAGCCAAACTTACCTCCGATGCCAAGGATCAATCAAATTCTGCCTTGTATGAGTACTCTGTCTGGGCTAGCTCTGGAGAGGAACTCACATTTGTTCCTGTGGATACCAGGTCTGCATACTGGAATTTTATCTTAGTGGCCTGAAACTATAGCATTAATGGTTCCTTACTCTGATTAAATCTTAGTGGCTGATTGGCTCTGTCTTGTATATCATCTAACCTGATGTTAAGGGATTTTAAAGTTTAAAGAGTGAAGTGAATTTCATATGTGTTCATGTTGAACTAAATTTTGTATGTATCTCCCCCCCACCCTGGCCCCAACCAAAAAGATAAAAAAAAGTGACAATACTTGGGTATAATTTAAAAAGAATTTAATCCTTCGCTTAACTGATTGCTTTTAAGTTGTCCTTTAAGCTGTTACGGCACCTTGATGTTTCTGACTTAAAACTGTGCTCGTTGTAGGAATCAGGAGAGGGAGATCTTGTTTTATCCTAGATGGCATCATGTGAGTTTTACCTTTTCTTTCTTTTCTAGTTTAAGATGTATTGTATAATGCTCTATTATTGTGAGCTTAATTTCCGATATGCTTCATCAGGTATTGGTGAAAAATGATGGATGTCAAGATTCTATTCCTATGTTTTTTGGTCGGCTGGGTTTATATATTGAAGGATCAGTTTCTCCCCCTCTTTCTGGGGTTCATATCAGGATTATTGCTGCTGGAGATAGTTCCATTGCTTCCCTCAAGAGTGGGGAGTTGGTACTTGAAACTGCCACTGATATCGACGGTTCATTTGTTGGGGGTCCTTTATATGATGACATAACTTACAGAGCTGAGGCTATGAAGGTGTGGAATGTTTAGTTCGACAGTCATTTTGTGTTCTCTCCGCTATATACCTGACGTGGTCTAGATTTCATAACTTCTCCTTTCATTTGTTATATTTTACTATTTACTAAAGTTACTGTATTTTTTGTCCTCTCAAGTCGTGTAGCTGATAAGCCATGTTTTATATTAGTTAATCAACAAAGTTTTATCTTGAGCGTGTTGGACCTTAGCCATTTTAGCCATTTTTTTTTCTCATTTTTGATAACATTTCCATTTGCAGCCCGGCTATCATCTGGAGCGTGTTGGACCTTATTCGTTTTCATGTCAGAAGCTTGGTCAAATTTCTGTGAAAATTTATTCTAGAGACAATAGTGAAGAACCGATTCCTTCAGTGCTGTTATCTCTGAGTGGTGACAATGGTTATAGAAACAATTCAGTGTCAAATGCTGGTGGAGTATTCCTTTTCAATGATCTTTTCCCTGGAACTTTCTATTTGCGTCCGCTACTGAAGGTAATTGAAAAATTTATTTAAAATGATTTATTAGTTTTTCCCTCTGGTCATCTTTTCCATTTTTACCTGCTTGGTTAGCCTTATATCTTACACAAAGCTTAGTGACACTGCAATTTGGATCCTAAGATTCATCTTTGGACTATTCCGATAATTAATATCTGTAGTAGTTTAACTTAACTAAATAGCTGGGGCATATTGGTGGTATGAGGCTTCAGCATGAACTAGATCAAATTCCTTTAGTCTTCTATTGGATGTTAAATGTTCCGTTGTTGATAATTAGACTTCACTGAAAAAAAACAATTCATCATATTTGCCAAGACAATTTGGTAATTTGGAAATTTGTTGGGTAAGAGTCAACTTTTGGCATTTGGTTTTCTTCGTATTCTAGATGGTCTAATTTGCTGAAACTTTCCTTTTCTTTTTGGAGGAGATTTCATTTCTCCCCTTGGCTCTCTATTGGTGTTAAGTGTTGTTCCTTCGAGCAATTATAATCTAAACTCACATTTATCCATAGTGATTTAATTTGAACTTCTTAATCTGAAGTAATAGTTATTTACTCTCATCCCTGTGGAAGGATGATTACAACAGATAGAGAGAGAAAAGATATTGCATTGGCTACGAATTTTTTTTGAAGATTCCTGAAGTATTCTTCAAATTGTCAAAAGAAAAAAAGCATAATATCACAAAACTCCTTTGTAGTCAGAGTTGGCAAAGAATGACGGTTTGATAATTCGCTTTGTTTTGTAGGAGTATGCTTTCTCACCGGCAGCTCAGACAATAGAACTTGATTCTGGGGAATCCAAAGAAGTTAATTTCCAGGCTACCCGTGTGGCTTACAGGTTTCTTATAGCCTCTATCATGCATTTTTTCTTCTATATTTATCGAGTACTTCTGGGATTAGGTTTTTGGAGTACTTTGAAAGTTGTGTATTTAAGTTTAGAAGACATTTCCGTTTCTGTAGATTATTTTTCACAATTTTACAAACATATTTTTATACACAGTCGAAGATTATCAAAATTTAAGGAGTGTTTTAATTAGTTAAATTATTTCTAGGATATTGACGAATACTTGCAGGCATTTTAAGAGAGTATATAGCCAAAGAACTTGGACATACTTGTCTCTAAATCTTCTTCTTGCAATATTATCATGAGTGACATTTAGGGAACGATAGCTGATTGTGTAACCTACGTGGCAGTCCTGTAAATGATGGCCTTCAATTCTTTGTTTGATCTATCTGTTCTTACTTCAAGTCATACTTATCACTGTTATCAGACTTGAATCGGAACATAGGATACCCTGACATGCACACATGGCATGGCATGAACATGGCCACTTATCATATTCTGAAAAATTAGAACATTGACAAGGCAAAGACGTGTTCAATGAAATACATTTTAAAAAGGTTTTCTCTAGACATGTCTACACATATTAATACTTTCATATACTTTTACATATATGATATAAACTTGTACCCAACAAAAAAGTTATCGCTTCTAAATATTTTTCTCTTTTTTCTCTATGAATGCGTCCTCCACATCTTGATTGAGCCTCAATATGTCCCTAATGTGTTTGCAGCATGTTTAATAGATTTCAAAAACTACATTGAAAAATAGCTGCTCTGAATCACAAGTTGGATGGCAACACTATACTTAATTTAATGTACATGCCTTTTAGATTAAAACCTTAGGTGAAACCCTTGAACTATTCCATCCTCTAGAAGGGCTGGAAAACCATTTTGAAGTAAAATACCCTGAATCTAGTAAAATTTTGTGGTATTGCAAGATGCTAAAATTGTTCCTTCAAACTTTTCAGTGCTATAGGTGTGGTGACGCTACTATCTGGCCAACCAAAAGAAGGTGTTTCGATTGAAGCCAGATCAGAAACAAAGGGTTATTATGAGGAAACGAAGACAGATGCACTCGGAAATTATCGTTTGAGGGGACTGCTCCCTGAGACAAATTACATCATTAGAGTAGTTCAAAGAGAGGATCAGGGCAGTGCCAGAATTGAGCGTGCATCTCCTGGAGCAATAACTGTCAAGGTCTGATATAGCCAATATATATTGTGGGACTTAGTAAAGCATATGCAAAAAAAATAACACATTTTTAGGGCTATTATTTTCAATATCTGAAATCTATGTATCGATCAACTTTGGCAGGTTGTATCAGAGGATATTAAGGGATTGGATTTTCTGGTCTTTGAACGCCCTGAATTGACCATTTTGAGTGGCTATGTTGAAGGAAAGAAAATTGTGGGACTAAAGTCAGGTTTGCAAGTAGAAATCAAGTCAGCTAGTGAGACATCTAAAGTCGCGTCCGTATTCCCTTTGCCACTTTCAAACTTTTTTCAGGTAAAGGGCTTACCTAAGGGTAAGTACCTTGTGCAGCTACGATCTAGTGAGCCGTCAAGCACCATCAAATTCGAGTCTAGCATAATTGAGGCTGACTTGGAGGAGAACAATCAAATTAACGTGGGCCCACTAACATACAAATATGAAAATTGTCACCACAAACAGGTTAGTGTTACTCTCTGCTAGAAAATTCTTTTGTGGGAGTCTGTACCATTTCGTTCTTGAAGAGCTGAAGTTCATTTCAATTTTCCTGTACTCCTACTTCTAGTTTAATAACTTAAGTGTTCTCTCCTTCTCTCCCTCCATTTCTTGTTCTGCAGGACCTTACTGCAGCACCGCTGCTCCCGCTCGTTAGTGGAATCTTTGTGATTATACTTTTCTTCAGCATTCCGAGGTAACGTGAAAAAATTTCCTTCCTCTCAATTATGCTTAGACAAGCCTGCGGCCATTTGCAGATTATAATACATTTAACCCATCCTTTGTTTCTAAAGAATTAAAGATTTTTACCAAGCCACGGTGGGCTCATCAGCATCATCTGGATTCGCTGTAACTACAAAGAAAGAACCACGGAAATCAGTTTTGAGAAAAAAGACATACTAAGAGAACCAACCGTCTTTCAGTGTCTGAGAGTGCAAGCATCTTCCATTTGGTCAAATTTTCGGTTAGCTCGATTGGCAACCTAACGCAGCTGGGATACGGTAGGCGTACAATCTTAGTAGTTAATTAAACTTAGAGATCAATGTTTGTTGCAACCTACTGGAATTGAATAGAGCTAGACGTTCTATAGGTTGTACGACTGGGACCTTGAGTTCTTGAGGCCAATGTTTGTTCTAAACTTTTGACATGTAGATCAACGACTGGTCGAGGTGGTAGTCCTTGTACACAATTTTGATCTCTAGGCTTGATGATGCAATGTTTATTTGCCACCATGTGAGATTCATTCTTGTAGGAGTTACTCAGTATTTAGTTAACTTATTTCCACATTTGGAACAGATGAGAAATAAATTGAAAGACCATTGGTAGGTTTTGATGTTTGATTTCACACTTTCAAATGTTTTGTTTGCTTCTTTATAAAAAAATTTGGACGAACACTTGGGAAAACATTTCCTGTACACTCAAACATGATGATTTTGTGTGAATTAAGATCCTTTTTTTTTTTTTTTTTTTTTTTTTTTTTTTTTTTTTTTTTGTTTTGTTTTGTTTTGTTTACATGTTCATAGGACGACCCCTCGAGTGAGTATGCATAGTTCAATAGTAAAAAGTGCTTGCACGTTAGCGGTCCCTCGAGTCGAGCTCTTGGACATGATCTGTAATTCCTACCACAAATTCGGCCATATAGGTGAAGTTAGGGACGATGTTACCAAGATTTTGTATGTATGTAGATATTTTCTTTGATATTTTCACATATTCATGGGTTTAACATCGATGATGATTGACATTTCTATCACAATACCAACAAAATATCAACAAAATGTATCATAATTTAAATATAATATGGGATAAAATATCTTTAAGCTTAATAAGCTTATTTGTTCTACTTTACATTTGGTTCATATGCTTCAAAATAGTACACTTTTATCTTTGAATTTTGAGCTTATTTCTCACTTTTTTCCCTTTATATTACTGGTCTATTAATAATTAAATTAACTAACTGTTTATCACTATTAAAATCAATTAAAAAAAATTATATATGATAATATTTAAATTAATTAAAAGAAAAGTCGATGCAAAATATTAAAAGTCAGTATTATTTGTGAAAATATATAAATTTTAACTTAAAATAATTCAATCCTGAGAATTAGACATTTTGAAAATTAAGAATTAAATTAAAATTAAACTAAAAAAATTAAGGATAAAAATATAAGATAAAAACTGTAATAAAAAATTATAATATCTTTGTTTCAGTATAATATTATGACATTTTGTTTTTTTTTTAAACATTTTCAGAAATATCCTCACATTTTATCTAACATTTGATTGATATTTCACCCACGTCAACGTCAAGTCAACGTCATAGAAGGGGGATATTTCTACATTGCAATTGGAACCATTAGGCGATAGATTCCATGTTTCCTGCTGCAGCTCCATTTGCAGTACTCCATCTCTCTCTCTCTCTAAACCCTGACCCATTTCCAGAAATTTACCTGCGTTGTCTGCCATTAATGGCGGTCACGAGCTTCCTGGAAGGTCATGTCCATTAATCACTGTAATCAACTATTCCTCTCTCTTTAAGGCTTTTTCGCGTTCTTTCTTGTTCCTCTTTTTGATTTGTAGCGTTTCAATGGCTTCCACTCCACCGCACTGCTCAATCACCACGGCAAAGCCGTATCAAACTCGTCAATACCCACAAAATAACCTGAAAAACCATCAGAATCCCCGCCAGAACGGCTCTTGGACGACGACGCATAAGGTTTCTCTTGTCAAACCAGTGTCCCCAACTCCCACTCACAGTGCGACTAAATCCACTTCTACTTCTACTCCCCTTTCACAAAGCCCTAATTTCCCATCTCTTTGCTCTCTCTCCTCGAAATCTGACCTCGTTTCTAACTTCTCCGGCCGCCGCTCAACTCGATGCGTATCAAAGTATCACAATCGCCGCCCCAAGTCCTCCATGGCCACTCGTCACACTGCGATCGCTGAGGAGGTTCTGAATCAGGCGCTTCAATTTGGTAAGGACGATACGAGTTTAGATAATATTTTGCTCGAGTTCGAATCTCATCTTTGTGGGTCGGTAGACTATACGTTTTTACTTCGGGAGCTTGGGAATAGAGGAGAATGTTGGAAATCAATTAGATGCTTTGAATTTGCGCTTGTTAGAGAGGGAAGGGACAATGAGCGAGGTAAACTAGCTAGTGCGATGATTAGTACGCTTGGTAGGCTTGGGAAAGTAGAACTTGCTAAGGGTGTTTTTGAAACAGCATTGAATCAAGGATATGGGAACACAGTTTACGCATTCTCTGCTTTGATAAGTGCTTATGGGAAGAGTGGTTACTTTGATCAAGCTATTAAGGTGTTTGAATCCATGAAAGCTTCAGGATTAAAACCGAATTTGGTTACTTATAATGCTGTAATTGATGCTTGTGGAAAAGGAGGAGTTGAGTTTAAGAAAGTGGTGGAGGTTTTTGAAGAAATGTTGAGGAATGGTGTCCAACCTGATAGAATTACTTATAACTCACTTCTTGCTGCGTGTAGTCGAGGAGGGTCGTGGGAGGCAGCTCGGAACTTGCTTAACGAGATGGTAGATAGAGGGATTGATCAAGATATCATTACTTATAACACACTTTTGGATGCGGTTTGCAAAGGTGGGCAGATGGATTTGGCCTTCGAGATTATGTTAGAAATGCCTGCCAAGAAAATACTGCCTAATGTGGTTACTTACAGCACAATGGCTGATGGGTATGCCAAGGCTGGTAGATTAGAAGATGCTCTAAACTTATACAATGAAATGAAGTTTCTGCGCATTGGTTTGGATAGAGTTTCATATAATACATTGCTTTCAATCTATGCCAAGCTTGGCAGGTTTGAAGATGCTCTGAATGTTTGCAGAGAGATGGGGAGGTCCGGTGTTAAAAAGGACGTTGTTACTTACAACGCGCTTCTAGATGGATATGGAAAGCAGGGGAAGTTTAATGAAGTTATTAGAGTATTTAACGAAATGAAAAGAGACGGCGTATCACCGAATTTGTTAACTTATTCTACATTAATTGACGTATACTCTAAAGGTAGTCTATATGAAGAGGCAATGGAGGTCTTTCGTGAATTCAAGCAGGCTGGCTTGAAGGCTGATGTAGTTCTTTATAGTGAACTCATCAATGCTTTATGTAAAAATGGTTTAGTCGATTCCGCTGTATCGTTGCTTGATGAGATGATAAAAGAAGGGATTAGGCCTAATGTTATCACTTACAATTCGATAATCGATGCCTTTGGTCGTTCTACAACGGAAGAATCTCTAGTTGAGGCTGTTGGTGCAGCTAGTGAATCCCCATCCTTCATAGTGATGGAGGGTGTGGATGAGAGTGAGATAGAAAGTTGGGTCAGTGACCATGTCTTCAAATTCTATCGGCGGCTTGTTGCTGAGAAAGAAGGGCCTGCAAAGAAGGAAAGACTAGGCGAAGAAGAGATCAGGTCCATCTTGAGGGTCTTCAAGAAGATGCATGAGCTAGAGATAAAACCAAACGTGGTCACCTTTTCAGCGATTCTAAATGCATGCAGGTAAAGATCTTTGACCGGCGTTTTTGCTTTCAAGATTTTGCTATTATTTGTTCAAAATATCCATCAAAGATCTGCCTACATAAGTTATTTTAGCCATTTTTTTCATTTTTGTAATTGATTCTCTTTATGAATAGAAGCCATGGACTTGCAAAACTAGGCATTTTATTAGGATGCATAATGAAGTAATGTGGATTGATTTTTTTTAAGATTTCTTTATCATTCTAGTATATCTAGATGGTATTGGCAAGCTTACTCTATGCGAGATCCCACATTGGTTGGAGAGGGGAACGAAGCATTCCTTATAAGAGTGTGGAAACCTTTACTTAGAAGACGTGTTTTAAAACCGTGAGGTTGACGACGATACGTAATGGGCCAAAGCGGACAATATTTGCAAGCAGTGGGCTTTGACTGTTACAAATGGTATCAAAGCCAGACATCAGGCAGTATGCCAGTGAGGATGTTGGCCCCCCAAGGGGGTGGATTGTCCTTATAAGGGTGTGGAAACCTCTCCCTAGAAGACGCGTTTTAAAACCGTGAGGCTGACGACGATATGTAACGGGTCAAAACGGACAATTTCTGCTAGCGGTGTTGCAAATGGTATTAGAGCCAGACACTGGGTGGTGTGCCGGCAAGGACGCTGGCCTCCAAGGGGGGTAGATTGTGAGATCTCATATCGGTTGGAGAGGGGAACAAAACATTCCTTATAAGGGTGTGGAAACCTCTCCGTAGAAGATGCGTTTTAAAATCGTGAGGCTGGATTTGGGTTGGTACACTCTACGAGTAAAATATTTAGTAAAAATATTTTATAATCCTTTGTCGCACTTTGTCAAGTCAAATATACCACAAATTACATTGTGCAATAGTTGTTTACCTCTTTTTGTCACATTTTTTATAAATCATTATTTACCTCTTTTTGTCACATTTTTTATAAATCATTATCTTGAACATTGAACAAGGATGTTGAAGATTGTTGAGAGTGAGTCTTACATTGGCTAATTAAAGGAACGATCATAGGTTTATAAGTAAGGAATACATCTCCGTTGATATGAGGTTGGCCTTTTGGGGAAACCAAAAGTAAAGCCATGAGAGCTTATGCTCAAAGTGGACAATATCATATCATCATGGAGGTCCGTGATTCCTAACGGGTAATTGAGTTTGAGCCTCACTTCAACAACATTTTACATGGAGTGCGTTGTTGTGGGTAGGTGAGGGCTTCTTTTGTGAGCTTGTTTTCGCTACTCTTTTTATCCATGGCAATTGGAGGAACCTGTTCTTTCCACTCTCCTGCATATTTTCTGAGGTTTATTATGTCAGTCCTTCTGGTTGCTTGCTTTGCTCTTTATTCCATATTATTCACTATAATCTCAAGCTGGATACGTGTTCGTTCCTGATTGTGGAATTTTTGTTTCGAGTGCAGCCGCTGCAAATCGATTGAAGATGCTTCAATGTTATTGGAAGAGCTTCGATTATTTGATAATCAAGTGTATGGTGTAGCTCATGGACTCCTGATGGGCTTTAGCGAAAATGTGTGGGTTCAAGCACAGTGTCTTTTTGATGAAGTGAAGCAGATGGACCCTTCCACTGCAGCTTCTTTCTACAATGCTTTGACAGATATGCTGTGGCATCTTGGTCAGGTGAAGTCTAAGCCTCTTTAGTAGCATTCTTATATCCAATCCTCATCGTGCGTTTGGTTATTTTGTGTTATCATTCTGAAATCTTGTTCTTATTTATAGAAACGAGGGGCCCAATTGGTTGTACTCGAAGGCAAAAGGCGCAATGTATGGGAGACGTTATGGTCCGATTCTTGCTTAGATTTGCACCTCATGTCGTCTGGAGCTGCTCACGCCATGGTTCATGCTTGGCTGCTGGGTATTCATTCTCTTGTGTTTAATGGCCATCAGTTGCCAAAGTTATTGAGGTACAAGTTCATTCCCCCTTACGCTCTTTATAGGTGTTTTGTTATGCATATAATGGGACTTAGTCGTGTCTTCATGGATTTGTTTGTATCTACATTTTCTTAAAAAGCCTCGTCTTATTCACTGAGGCATAATATGGTATCTCTCTTTAGTGGCGCCTCAAACTTTCTCTTTATTAAGATTGAGTGGCCAGTTGGCACGAAGAAGGGAAGTAAGACGAGGTACATTGTGAGATCCTACATCGGTTGGAGAGGATAACGAAGTGTTCTTTATAAGGGTGTGTAAAACTCTCCCTAGCAAATGCGTTTTAAAAACCTTAAGGGGAAGCTCGAAAGGGAAATCCCAAAAAGGACAATATTTGTTAGGTGTGAGCTTGGACTCTTACAAATGGTATTAGAGCTAGACACCAAGTGATGTGCTAGTGAGGAGGCTGGGCCCCAAAGAGAGATGGACACGAGCGTCCTCGAGGGGGGGGGGGGGGGGGGGGGGGTTGGGGGGTCCCACATAGATTGGAGAAGGGACGAGCGCCAGGGAGGACACTGGGCCCCGAAAAGGGGTAGATTGTGAGATCCCACATCGGTTGGGGAGGAGAACGAAACATTCTTTATAATGGTGTGGAAACCTCTCCCTAGCAAACACGTTTTAGAAACCTTGAGGGGAAGCCCGAAAGGGAAGTTCAAAGAGGACAATATCTGCCAAGCAGTGGGCTTCTTTATCATGGTGCGGAAACCTCTCCCTAACAAGACACATTTTAGAAACCTTGAGGGGAAACCCGAAAAGGAAGTTCAAAAAGGACAATATCTACCAAGGAGTGGGCTTGGGCTTGGGCTTGGGCCGTTAGAAAATTTATAGAAAAGAAAAAGCTAAAAGGTAACAGGTACAAGAAGCTCCTAAAGGGTTCTTTCTTTGCCTATTGAATACCCTGTTCCGTTCTAGCCATTAAAGTCTATGGGAATCCTTCACAAATTGAATCCAGAAGAGTGCTTTCTGAGCGTTTTGTGTATGTGAGATCATTACATCTGTTCTTGGCAAGTAGTTGCGTAGGGAAAGACCCGAGGTTGAGCCAGCCGAATACGAATCGTTTCGATATTCTTTCATTTGTTCTCAACGAAAGTCGTTATTTTCCTTAAAAACGAAATGTATTATTACAAACTTCTTACATCTTAGTGATTATTATGCAGCATTCTGACTGGATGGGGAAAACACAGCAAGGTCGTCGGTGATGGAGCTCTAAGGCGGGCGATCGAGGCACTTCTGACCAGGATGGGGGCACCATTTCAGGTTGCGAAATGCAATATAGGAAGGTACGTATCAACAGGCTCTGTGGTGGCTGCCTGGTTGAAAGAGTCTGGTACCTTAAAATTGCTTGTTCTTCATGATGGTAGAACTCATCCAGATACTGAAAATTTGGATCTCATATCCAAACTCCAAACGATTTCCTTGTAGCACAATTTGAATAAATATTATTATACACATACTCACATGTTTGAATATTCATTTTCATATCTTGTTTGGCTAAAAAAAGGTGAGGGAAAGTTATACTCCAAATGATTCTAATCAACTTATTTGGTATTTTTTTCGTCCCGAAAAAAAAAAAATTGTGAAGATAAGTTTTGCGTATATACTTTAGTCATTCACCATCGAACAATTACCCAAACAATATCCCCTACTCATAAGATATAAGATGCGCCATAGTGACTTGGACAAGGACAAGGACACTTTTAAACGCCATACCTTGATGCCTTTGTTTTAGGACTTGGACAAGGACCGAAATCTTCTCGACCATTAGTTGGGTTGGTGATTNGAACCATTCAAATAAAGTTCACAATTCAATCCAATTCATTCTTATATTTTCAGGTTGAGTTGGGTTGGGTTGTCGGGTTTTTTTTTTTTTTTTTTTAATTATCTAAAAAAAACATACTTATCTACCATACATATTATATTAATAACTAAAATCTCATCAATCCCATGCATCTTAAGTATCAAACATTCACAAGTCATATGTATCACTAACATCACTCTATCTTCGAATTGGTTGGGATGACCCGACAAAAAAAAAAATGTCAACCTGCATACAAACCATAATCTTCGGTCTTCCAAAAAATTCAACCCAACCCAAATTGAAAAAAAAAAAAAAAAAAAAATCTAACCCAACCGAACATTTATGGGTTGGGTTAGATAGTCTGAATTGGTCGGATTCTCTAGTCATTTGAATATCCTTTTTTTCTTCTGATAATAAAATACATTGATGAACTTGGGTAGGTTTCGATTATTCATAGAACTCATTTAAAAGATACTATCGCTATCCCTAATACCATACTCGTAGAAAAAAAAAAGTATTTTAAAATCACCAAAAAAAAAAAAAAAGAAAAAAGAAAAAAGAATGAATATAAGAAAAGCAAGTGAATATGAAAAAGGAGATGCTAACTAAAGAGAAATTCTTGCAACATTTTGAAGAAGAAAAAAAGCAAAAAAGATGAATTAGTGTCATTCATTGCTTTGGAATATTGAAGGCAATGCCAATTTGGCCCTCTTGTTCTTAGAATCTCACCGCCAAACCCAAATACACTCATTATTTTTTAACACCATAATTTATAATTTATTTGCATCTCACACTTTCTTATTTTATTCTCCATAAAAATCAATCAACATTTTCCTTACATTTTAAAAAATAAAATAAATAGATTTTAAATTATTTTAAACAATACGATATTCAAGTCAGTTACCGATTGAAATCGGTATCATATACATAATTCAACCCGCGAGAAAATCAATATCATGAGTATTAAAATCACACGTAATTTTGGGGATTCGTGGGTCCAAAACCCACTTAAAAGCAAGACCACCGACTAATCCAACTAACTTAACCAACCCCTTTATCCACTTTAATTAACCCTCCAACCCTTTTACTTTTAACATCATCAAAACCCTTATTCATTCATCTTTTCATATTTGAATAAATTCCTCTGTCCATTCCGACCAATTTGTTCATTGTTTTCTCATGTCGTGTCGCCATTTTCTTGTCCTAAAACATTGCGCCATCCCTTCTCTAATAAAACCCATCACCATTTCCCCTCTTTCTTCAACTCATTCTCCTCTTACAAGTGTACCGTTTTTGTTCCTTTCAGCTCACCACTTGGCTTCGGGCTTGTCCTCGTATGCCACCCTACGTTGCCGCTTGTCTTCTTCCATTGATATCAATCAAAGCTTCTTAGACATTCTTCATCTTTCTTAGCTTTCTTCAACCCATCCATCCTGCCATGGCTCCCCCAAACGACCCATCTACCTTAACCTCTTCGCCTCTCAAATCCGAGGGTTTGGACAATCTTGTTGATTTCTCAGATGGGAAACTCAGTGTCAAAGGTGTTTCTTTGCTGTCGGATGTCCCAAGTAATGTCTTTTTCAGCTCCTTCTCTTCCATATGTCAACCCTCTGACGCCCCACTTCCTCTGCTCCAACGAGTTCATTCTCTGTCTCATAAGGGTGGCTTTCTTGGTTTTGATCAAACCAAATCCTCTGATAGGCTCACCAATTCCTTGGGGAAATTCAAGGGTAGGGAGTTTGTGAGTGTATTTAGATTCAAAACATGGTGGTCGACCATGTGGGTCGGGAATTCTGGGTCGGATTTACAAATGGAAACTCAATGGTTCATGTTGAATGTCCCTGAAATCAAATCGTATGTCGTTTTCATACCCATTATAGAAGGGAGTTTCAGATCCGCTATCCATCCTGGGGTTGATGGGCATGTCATGATTTGCGCCGAGAGTGGCTCAACTCATGTCAAAACATCTAGTTTTGATGCTATAACCTATGTTCATGTGTCTGATAACCCTTACAAGTTAATGAAAGAGGCCTATGCGGCTATTAGAGTTCATATGAACACGTTTAGGCTCTTGGAAGAGAAGCCTGTCACTCATTTACTGGACAAATTCGGTTGGTGCACATGGGATGCTTTTTACTTAACAGTAGATCCTGTTGGAATTTGGAATGGTGTCAATGACTTCGCTGAAGGCGGTGTGTCGCCGAGGTTTCTCATCATTGACGATGGGTGGCAGAGTATCAACATCGACGGCGAAGACCCAACTCGGGATGCTAAAAATCTTGTTCTTGGTGGGACACAAATGACTGCAAGGCTCTATAGATTTGATGAATGTGAGAAATTTAGGAAGTACAAAGGTGGGTCTCTGTCTGGTCCGAATGCTCCATCGTTTGATCCAAAGAAGCCGAAGTTACTGATTGCTAAGGCAATCGAAATTGAGCACGCTGAGAAGGACAGAGACAAGGCCATTGGCTCTGGAGTCACGGATATCACTAAGTTCGAGACCAAAATTCACAAGTTTAAGGAAGAGTTGAATGCAATCTTTGGTAAAGAACAAGACAGTGGCTGTTCTAGCTGTTCTTGCAAGGGTGATGATTCTGGAATGAAGGCATTCACAAGGGATTTGAGAACAAAATTCAAAGGGTTGGATGATGTGTTTGTTTGGCATGCTCTTGCTGGTGCTTGGGGTGGTGTGAGGCCTGGCGCTACTCATTTGAATTCCAAGATAGTTCCTTGTAAGCTCTCTCCTGGGCTTGATGGCACAATGACTGATCTTGCTGTTGTGAAGATTATCGAAGGGAGTATCGGACTCGTTCATCCTGATCAAGCTGACGATTTTTTCGACTCGATGCATTCCTATCTCTCTAAAGTTGGGATTACAGGAGTGAAAGTCGATGTGATGCATGTAAGTATCTCTAAATTAGTACGGTTGTTCCATAACTTATCTATTAACTTATTTGTTCAATTCAGACACTGGAGTATGTCTCGGAGGAATATGGAGGAAGAGTTGATCTTGCAAAGGCGTATTACAAGGGTCTGACTAAATCTCTTCATAAGAATTTCAAAGGGACGGGTCTTTTCTCTAGTATGCAACAGTGTAATGATTTCTTCTTCCTTGGCACGAAGCAAAACTCCATAGGGAGAGTCGGTGAGAATTTCAACGTTTTTCTTTTGTGTTCGATAAGATGAGCCCACCGAATGAAACAAAAAGAGTAATAAAAGGGAAACGTTTTCACAGGTGATGACTTTTGGTTTCAAGATCCAAACGGTGATCCCATGGGTGTTTATTGGTTACAAGGTGTTCATATGATTCACTGTGCCTACAACAGCATGTGGATGGGACAAATCATACAGCCTGATTGGGACATGTTTCAATCAGACCATCTATGTGCTAAATTCCATGCCGGATCAAGAGCTATTTGTGGCGGTCCTGTCTATGTGAGTGACTCCGTGGGTGGCCATAATTTTGATCTCATAAAACAACTCGTCTATCCCGATGGAACTATTCCTAGATGCCAACATTTTGCCCTCCCCACTAGAGATTGCCTCTTCAAGAATCCTTTATTTGACAGCAAAACGGTTCTCAAGATCTGGAACTTCAACAAGGTACTTTTTAATTTTTTTTCGAAACCCAAATCTTTATATCATTCGAAAAAATAACACTTCTCGATTGGAATTTATGTACAGTATGGAGGTGTAATCGGGGCATTCAACTGTCAAGGAGCAGGGTGGGACCCCAAAGAACAAAGAATCAAGGGACATCCAGAATGTTACAAACCAATGTCTACAACAGTGCATGTCAGCGATGTGGAATGGGACCAAAAACCAGAAGCAGCTCCTATGGGAAATTTCACCGAATACATTGTGTACCTGAATCAAGCAGAGCAAATTCTCCATACTACCCCAAAATTTGAACCGCTAAAAGTGACCATTCAACCATCTACATTCGAGATCTTCAGTTTCATACCTCTAAGAAAACTCAATTCCAACATTAAATTCGCTCCCATCGGTCTGAAGGAAATGTTCAACAGTTCTGGAACGATTCAACATTTGAAATATAATGAAAATGGAGTCGAAATGAAAGTGAAAGGTGGAGGAAATTTCATAGCTTACTCAAGTGCGTCGCCGAAAAAGTGCATTTCGAACGGAGTAGAAGTGGAATTTGAATGGGATGATTCCGATGGAAAGCTCAGCTTTGATCTTCCATGGATTGAAGAAGCTAAAGGAGTTTCTAACGTGGAAATTTTATTTTGAGTAATTTTATCTCTAAGTTAATTTTTATTTATTTTATGCATTTTTGTTGTTTGTGTTAAGTGACGTGTGCTAAGGGATAGCCACGTCAATTAAATAATCGCGTTTATTATTATTATTATTATTATTATTATTGTATTTTTGAATTTTTATTTTTATTTTCCCCTTTTTTTCGGATTGGTCCTTAAGAAGAGGGCATTATGTTTCGAATTTTGTTTCTACTAAATAAATGGGATCAGCGGGTGCATCTTGTTGGTATATGTAATAACTTTCATTTCTTTTAAGTTTTTCTTAGTCATCATCGTGTTTTCAAGATCGCTCTTATTCAGATATGGTCTCAGTTCATTCATGTACCTCCTCCCTGAGTGTTATAAACAAACCCTTATTTCACACGAGAGTTTTTTAGGATATTATTTTTTAATTTTACTATATT